TTGAAGTAATGCGCCTGCCTCACTTTCCTTCCCTTACTTTCTTTTGTTTGTTCTAACACTTTTTTCTTTATTTGTGCCTCTGCTGTCATGAGTTTCTATCTGAAGTTAGAGTGATCTGCCAATTAGGACTACAAAGTGTCATCCTGAAGAATGTCTGAACCTCCACCAATGGCATTCACACGCTCACACACACAGATACACACTGCACACTTGGAAACAGCCAATCCTCTCTGTGCGGGCTAAGCTGTCTCCCCTGTGCCTTGAGCGCAGCTGAAGAGACAGACTGGAAAGGAAAGAGACGAAGTGCGAGAGGTGCGATTTCTTGCACCTTTGCAGAAACAACAGGTCGATCTATCGCAAACGAACGTCCGCACACTTCTGCTTCGACAAGTCACATAAGTTGTTTAGCACCTGCACGTTCAACAAGCAAAAGGGGCGACGTGGGGGGGTAGTCTCGGTTTGTGTTAATTTCCATATGCCAGAGCCACGAAAAAGTCCAAACGAGTCACCTTGCTGCTTGCACCATCATCACCCTAAAGAGGAAGTGACTGAGGCTGGAAATAAAGACAGCCCGTGCAGGGTTGTTGTTCTACATCTTTCATTATTAATTCATTGTTGTATTGATTGTGTATTCATCTGGAGGGGAAGCGGAGGAGAACTGATGTCTGAGGCAGCTATATTAGCCAGCACTTCCCTTCCTCTCCTGTTTCTTATCTGGCAGGCTGCTGAGGCGCTGGGAGGATGCAGGGTGAGCCGCCTGCTACTCTGATACAAGCGTCAGAGGAAAGATACAAACCTGGAAAAAGGGCACGACAATGTGGAAAAAAAGAAGAGCTTGACCAGAGATGGGCAGTAACGCGTTCATCTCGCGTTACTTGTAACCCGATTACTTTTTTGAGTAACGAGTAAAGTAAGGGATTACTATTGCAAAGAGGGTAATTAGATTACTGTTACTTTCCCGTAAGCACGCTGCGTTACTGCGTTACTAAAACCGTGATTTTCTTGCGAGAGTGTCTCATGATAATGACGTAAGCGAGTGTGACATCGTGGCAACAGCTGTGTGCAGATCAACAATGGATAATATATGGAGTGTATGGAGAGTATGAGCATGCAGCGTTTAAAGCGTGGAAGTACTGACCTTACTTTGAGTTTGATTCTGTAAAAAGTGACAAAAACATTGGCGTCCGTTGTTCACTGCGTGGGAAGAAAACCCCTAAACTTCCGAGCAAGCACCGAGTAATGTGAAATTCACAGAGAAACTCGCAGATTCTTCAACTGACCAGGGTAAACCTCCGCCTACCCCACTCCTGCTGTACAGGTGAAAATAGAGCAACAGGACCACTAGTCTTTGATTTTATTTATTTTCTTCTGTGTTTTACTTGCATTTATTTGAAAGACTGAGTGTAAACACAAAAAAATATTTTATTTTTTGTGCTGGAATGTGCAGAAAATAGGTTTAAATGTTAAACTAATTTCTTCCAGTCAGTGAATGTTGCATATAATTACATTTTTGCTTGATGCATAAAGTTAAAAGATTAAAACTAATAAAACAAGTTTTAAAAAAAGACTTTTCCATTTGATTACATTTTGTATGATGGATTATGCAGAAAAAGTAGAATTGGGCTGAAAGATCTATTTATCACCTATTCATGTTGTAAATCGTGTTTTTAAAAAGTAACTAAGTAACTAAGTAATTAATTACTTTTGAAAATAAGTAATCAGTAAAGTAACGGGATTACTTTTTGGGGAAGTAATCAGTAATTAGTTGCTGATTACTTTTTTCTAGTAACTTGACCAACACTGAGCTTGACTGTGCAAAATATGTATTTCAAAGCCAAGTGGTACACATGAACCAAGCTGACTGTCAAGTTTTTCAAGACCATGCCAGTGATTAATGAGAACAGCATGTCCTTTCTTAACAATTTTAATTTCTTTCTAACATTTGGGTCAACAGGAGAGAGAGAAGGAAACCAGACAGAAAGGGTAGTGAGAGGTTCAAAAGTTCTACTGCAATATTTCTCCTAGGACTATTCATCTCATCTCCATGTGTCCTGTTATATTTCAGGTTGAATCAGCACACATTTGATGCAATCTTTGAGATCCTCTCATGGCAAAAAGATGAGATTTGGTGAGTATTGACTTCATTAGTAATGGGGTAGTTCAACACTTTTACACAGTGTATACAAAGCCACTGCAAGAAGCCAATGAACCGGACTAATCATAAAGGTTGAAACCACTAGCCTGGGTCTGCAAAATTCATCTGAACCTCACTGAATGCAGCTGAAAGTACACAATTGATTAAAACTGCTTATGTGGCTTGATTTAATATGGCTTGGTATCAATCAGAAAAGCAACATGCATTTTTGAGAGAAGACTATTCTCACGTCTGTGAAGGTTCCCAGTCATCCAGGTCATCGTAGTCAAAGGAGCTTGCAAAGAAAAGCGTCTGGACTTCTTTAAGTTACTTGAAGACGTTTCACCTCTCATCCGAGAAGCTTCTCGGATGAGAGGTGAATATTCTCACATATTTATGTTCAGAGCAGGAGAGGAGAGATGAAAGAACAACAGATCTTATGCAAATGTTAAGGACTAATACTATTCCTCCCACTTCATCCTGCTTGGTAGCTCAGATCGCAACCTGATTTACCTAACCCTCTACTGTGTCCCTCTAGTCAAGAAGCAGCCTCTGACCCCACGGATGGTGAGTATATGGTCATAGGATGCTTTTGTGGCCCTGCCAGGCCACTCTGAGGGGAATGGTTGGCCAGTCCTCTGTGAGTCGTAGTGAGAGGACATTGATGGGAGCGTAAAATTGATCAGTCTACATAAATTTCTGCACCGACTCCATAATTCCAAAGGAACAACAACAAATCATGTGTAACAAAGGACATCAAAGCACTCCTTAAAAAGAAAACGAGGACCTTCAGAGCTGGCAGTATGGAGGAGAGAGAAGCTTAAAGTATCCTAAAGAAATCCATCAAGAAGGCATGGACAACTACAGGAGAAAACTGGAGTGGAAAATCCAGCAGACCAACATGAGGGCAGTCTGGAGTGGCATGAAGTCCATCATTGGTTTAAGACCAACAAACAGCGCTGCAGTTGAAAACTGTGGAATTAACCAATAGACTAAATCCGTTCTTTAATAGCACAAACCTATGTGCTTTAACTTTGGAATATTTAAAGCTCCTTAGTTTTTCTTATTTTTACTCTTTTTTTTTTAGGGAGACTTTACTTTTTAATTGAATATTTATATTTAACTTATATTAATGTCTGAAACAAGTCTGATACCTCAGTGGAAAATAAGGACACAAAAACTAAAAAGCAGCCTAAGGAGGCCACTTTTGGACTGCAACTGACTGTAGCAATGGGGTTTTGTAAAAAATAAATAACAATAATAATTAAAATAATAAAAACAAATACGATATACTGTTCACTTTCAGTCTCTTTAGCATTAAGTGGTTCTTCGCTGTTTTGCTAGCTGCACTGAAATGGGAAAATCCAGCTACTGGCCATAATTTTAGGGTTTTTAGAGCATTTTCTAAATGAGGACTGTGTGGGGGAGAGCCTGTTTGAGTCTGGTGCACCAGACAGACAAGCTGAAGTCCGACACTCTGATTTTTAATCATCAGTTAGGGTGTAGTTAACAAATGGCGTGTAAATTAGCCTTTATACATGTAGTGTTTCATGTCTACTTTAAGAGTATGAGGAGATATTTAGAAGATTTTAATGCTCCAAGAACCAAGAAAAGCACTAAAATGTAAAAATTCTGATTGGTAAAACACTTAACTGTAAATTATGGTATAGCTTGTACTCTCCTGTTTCTTTACTGTTCTTTACAGACAGCTTTTCAGGGATTTCACACAATACAAATACCTATACATCGCCTGCAGTGGGTTATGGAGAAGGCTTCAGCTGAACTGGTTTAATAAAAATGTCTGTAACTCAGATCCTTTGGGGACAAAAAATCTCCAAACAAAAAGTCTGGTTTCACTAATAAACTAGAGTTGGTGTGTCAGACAGGTTTGACTTCAGGTTGCTTTAGTGGGAGTCTGAGCTTTGCTGTGAAGCTGCTCTGAGAGGATTTAGTGTGGGATAACACCAGGTAGCTGATAGCCTATTACAGTATAATCACTGAAGGTTTTTGCTCATTTGCAATCCGTGCCAGCCTGTGAGCAACTAGAGTGTATCAATGAAAGATTCATTGAAGGCAGTACAAACACAACTAGTGATCTGGATTAAATATTCATTGAGGAGATGTTAGTCGGGATCCTATGGAGCTTTAACACTTGACTCTTTCAGTGCATGTAACTATTGCTGGAATAAAACATGGCTCATTATAGCATCGAGCTGCAGCCGAGGAGGTTTTATGGTTTGGAGAAATTCAACCAAATATCCTCATCTGCTGCTGCTGCTGAGCTTGTTTTTCTTACGGAACTCATTGCAGATTTAACAGCCTCCTCTCTTGAAGAAGGTAAAAGAAAGGGCACAAGGCATTTCCTGAGTGCATCCCCTGTGAGTTTGAAAAATGAATTAGGGCCTGCAGCCAGAGGTTTCCACCGCTGTTACATCCAGTAACACCCTGGGTTATTTTTAGCATCCCGCCGTCTTGTCAGACTGGAGGAGAGAAGAAACACCCCCCCCCCCCCCCCCACCCTCATGTAACAAGAGGAGGCTAGTGGGAAGCTGTAAGGCAGGTATGATCACCTTATAAAGCTTTATCCAGGTTTGGAGATGTAGTGGAGGGTAAGCTCACCTGAGCACACCTTTAGGTTGACAAAAAAAGTCATTGTTACATAAATATATTGTTCTGCTGAAAAAGTGAAGGCGCTCCACATTTGTGTTAGGCTTTGGAAATGTGGTTTTATATATATATATATATAGATAGATAGATAGATAGATAGATAGATAGATAGATAGATATGAATCACTTTTAGACTTTGTGTTGCATATATATTGTGTTCCTCCACATCATAGCGCAGGTTTGGACCCTCTGTGCTTACCTGAATTCAGGAGCCAGGTTGGATTTCAGGCCATAGAAGGCAGCAGATAAGGTCAAAAGCCAACGGGGAACAAAATTCCCATTCTCACACTCCAAGTAGGGCGCAGACCATCTGACGTGCGTCTTGTCCGGAATAAAACTCTCTCCTCTTTTCACTGAATTGTCCACCGATCTGAAATCTTGGCTCAGCGCTCTTTTATGGAAATTGGGGTTCTTCCTGTCTTTTATTTCGTGGTACCACTCTGTCTCTGCCGTGCGGTTGTGCAGATGTCGGTGGGCCATGCTGGAGAGGTCTTGGAGTACTATTTCACCGCCGGCCCTGGTGGCTTGAAGAAGCACCGAGGGCCCCGGGAAGGATGAATCCCCGCTAAAAGTAACAACCGCCCGGTGAATCTTGGCGTCTCCCTCCAGTATACTCCTGACTAACGCGTGGTACCACTCAATGTCTCGCCGGAGGTTGTGCTCCCTGGACCTGTTGGCTTGCAGGATCATGTTGAGGAAGTTTGTGGCGTGCAGCACCGTATCCAGCACGCTGCTCATGGAGTAATGCGGGGTAGCGTGTGACCTTCCCCGCAGAGAGGTGAGCTCGTACTTTCGCGAGCAGTTGGCATGCTTTAAGGTGGTCGAGTCCCCGGTGTGTAAAAAAGCCGTGACGACCCTGGGTAGAAGCTCGTCTGTCTTCTGCGGCAGCTCCGCCGTCTCCCCGGCAGCGTGATGAGGCGCACGGAGATGCGCCAGCTGCCAGCGGTGCGTCTGAGCGCCGTGAATCGCCTCCCGTGCCCCGTTATCCTCCCCGTGCCCTGACCATTCCGCGTATTTATGGTTTGATCCGATCACGAATCCAACTTGCAGCAGCAGCGACAGCCGGAAAACAGCCATCTCCCTCAAGAGAGCGACCACAGATGTTTGGGGGATTGCTGCTCGGAATTAACAGTGTCGTCGGGCGAGTGTGCTGTAGAAAAAACACAGAGAACCTATCAAATTGCCCCGCTAAACCATCGCTTCACCACTTGTAGGATATTCTTCTGAGCTCCACGCCTCTGTTCTTGAAATCACAAAAAGAGGGAAACCCGCCAGGAACCCCTTCCCTCGTCAAATGCCTTCTCCTTCCTCACAGATGCCTCATACAGCTTGTTGATGTTGAGTATCCGCTTGCAGCTGTTTCCCCCCCACCTCTCTCTCTCCCTCTCTTTCACACACTGTAGACAAGACTGTGTTGGCTTTGCTGTGCCGCGGACGTTCTCCTTCTGCGTGTAGGCTACACAGACTGAATCAAAACGAGGAGGAGGGAGGGGTAAGGGGCGGTTATTATTATATTTATATGCTTTTTTTAGGAGGCACCGAGTCGAGGAGCTTCTCACTTGGATGGCAAACGCACTCCGCCCTCTTCCGACCACAGCAAGCATTAAGCAGGCCTATAAAAGCCACGAAGAAGCAACATCAGGATCCGTGCGCTTTCAAAGCCCGTCGTCTTCGTCGTCTCATAGGGGCTCCAGGAGCGCCATTGATCCGCGTGTGGCCGCTTCTTCTGTCAATCTCGGAGCGGTGTTTGGTGGAGCGGTGAAGGAGCTGTCCGGCGCTGAAACCGATGAAGCACTGAAGGAGCTGTCCGACGCTGAAACAGACAAAGTCACCCTCAGCCGATTTATCACAATCAAGCACTTAATTTTAGATCAATTTTCGGAGACTAAGATTTTTTTTCTATCATCAGTGAGGGGAAAGCTTTATTAAATACGATTTGATTCATGATTGTAAACTTTTGGAGCAAGGTGCAGACTGGATTCATCTTTTCTTTCTAAATTTCTGCTATCTTCAAATCTGAAAGCTGAAATGCTTCTGACTAAGAATTTATCTGCGTTTCTCTGATTTTCACCTGCTTCCACAACAATTCACCTGACCTTCACATTTAAAAATATGCTGGTGTATTGTTGGATAGATGAATAAGTGCACCACCAAATCTGAAGTCATTTGGATGAGAGGTTCTCATGTTTTGGCTAAAGGTTTTTCTACAATAGAAATTAAAGCCAAGCCTCCAATCTCAGTTTAACCACAACAACAACGTGCTGCTCACTTAAACCTTGTGATGATGCCTGTGTTGGCTTAAGACTTTCTTTTTTGAGTTGTTTTCATCTAATATATGATTGTGTGTTTTCTGATTGGTTTCATTGTTGTTTATATGCCTGCAGTAATCTTTCCAAGGAGCCCTTTGTGTATAAATAGTCCTGTCTTCCCTTCAGTATGGGGCACAACATGCATCCGTCATGCTCAGCTGTTAGGTTTCCAACTGTGTGATCTTCAGTTTTTGGATTTACTTTGTTTCTGAACTTTGTTTATGGTCTAAAAAAAATCCATGCCCTCTTTATCACGCCTTTTGGTCCAAAACTGCACTGTTGTGCAGGGAAGTAAGAGCAGGTAGAAAAGTTCTGACTTTTCCAACATTTTGTCACTCTTTTGTTCTAAGATTCCAACTGGTTCCTCTAAAATACAGCTGGTATGTTTGGGTTTAATTTACATAAAAAGCCAGTCTGTGTCACTCATTGTTAATATTTAGACAGGCACGCACAGACACACACAAACACACACACACAGTGAATCTATCCTTACCGCACTTTTAAAGCAATAATTTTGTGTTTACCTACATTTGATGAGTTTAGGAGATATGACTGAATTGTAGGTACAAAAACTGACCACAAGATAACTGTGTTTAACTTTTGGGGGGCAATAAAATGTCCCCAAGCTCTAAAAACTCTATATTTGGACAATTTCCTTTGTGTGTTCCTCAGTCTGTTCCTCTCAGTCTTTTCCTGACCTAAAATGTAAAACAAACAAAAAAAAATGTAAAAACAGAAAGAAATTAGAAAAAATACACATTTTGGTTATGTAAGTTGAATGAAAAGCTTTTAATATTTTCTGCAGTATTTCTGTCTTTATTTCTGTGACACAGTGGTGCAGAAGGTAACAGCAAAAAGATTCTGGAGTTGAACTTTCATGAGATCTTCAGTCTCCCTGCGAACCTAACATGCATGTCCAAAGCCTTGCATGGTATGCATACTCAAGACATCACTGAATGCACACATTAATAAGGCATGTAGACACACCTATCATTCACATTGGCATGCAGTAAAATCAAATGTGAGATCAGAAAACCTTTGAAGCTTTGGTTAAAATTAAAGAAGTGCTATGCAAATACCCGTTCACATTTGAATAAATAACAAATATATGTAATATATAAATTAATGTGTCCCCCTGCCTCTAATTTTACCCACTTTTTAAGAGCTTTGATTAACATTATGGTACAAAATTTTCACCAGAGGTTCAAGTGCAAATAAGCATCATACAGTAGTAGTGCTTTAGCATGTAACACCCCAGTTACATCTCAAAATATATAATTAGGTGCTGTATTTTATGAGAGAATAAGTTATCTTTTTTTGCAACATATTGTTTTTTTTCTATAAATTCTAATAAAAACTAGTGTTAGACATGTAAAAGTGCACTAACAGATGTGGGATTTTACTACAAGAGGAACATGATGAGTTTTTTTATGTTATCTCCAATCCCTCTTCTTATCAGTTGATGCTCTCACATACACCCACACTCTCTCCAGCTCTGCCTTCATCCTGGGTGTAGGGCCATCTCATGTCATGCTGTGCAGTCCAGAGGCATCTCGCCTAGGAAGCAGGGCGAGGGAAGACAGGCATGACGGAGGGTGACAGAGCTGTGCAGCAGCCATGAAAGATGCAGAAAGTTAAAACCAGAAGACTTTTCTTTTTTGGGGAGGGGGGGTTAAGTTCTACTTAGAGTAAAGCTGAATCCAAGGCTCCTTACTTCTCTTCCTTTGTTAAACTCTCCATATCTGCAAGTAAAGAGCCGACAACAAGACACCGGCAGCTACCGTTGCAGCACCGCTGTACACAAAACACTTGCTCCTAAGCAATCTGATTAGCATTCACTCTTTACCCTAGAGTGGAAAAAGCAGTAAGAACCTCTTTATTCAGTTTATCTGTCCCAATTCAGTGTGTTGTTTTATTCTTTGGAAAGTATTCAAATAAGAATACTCACAATTTACATTCTAATATTTAAAGTTTATATGCACACTAAATGTTAACCTATCTGCAGCAACAAGCATGAAGCATATCTATAATTAAGTTATTTCCTTTCTGTTTGGTCTCCAGCGGTTTATAGTTCTGTGCAAAATGCTACAAATGAATGCAACTGAAACAATAGAAAAATTCTAAACATCAGTCATGATCACAAGGATGGTGGTGGTAGCTTTGGTGGACATAACGCTTCCTTTTGAGGTGTGAGCCATCTGTATGGGTTCTTGCTTTTAATGCGCTGCCAGTTGGAGGCCATTATGATGAATATGCCACCAACACCACTTCCTGAAACTGAGAAATTGTAGTGCAGCTTAATTATGGACAGTTTGGAATAATGTGACATTTGAATGGCATGTAAATGAAGTAAAGGTGGGGGGGGGCAATTGTGGCAGCTTTGCAATTTTTTTTGAGTCCCGATTGCTTCTGAAATCTATTTAATGGTAATTCAGGGCACTATTCAAAGCCACATACTGGCAGCGGTGGCTCAGGAGTTAGAGTCATCCACTAATCAGCTCCTCCAGTCTGCATGGTGAAGTTTCCTGAAGCAAGAAACTAAACCCCAGATTGTCCGTGATGTATCTATCGATGTGTGAGTGTGATAAATAAAGGCCTGTATGAATGAGTGGGTGAAAGGGGCTTGTAGTATAAAGCCCTTTGAGTGGTTAATAAGAGGGAAAAAGCACAATATAAATGCCACTCTTTATTGTCTAACCAGGCAGCGATAAAAAGAGTAGAAAAATAGACATTCACGTTAGTAATTCATAAACATTCATTTAACTTTTGCAGCGATTTATCCAGATAAAAGTCATCTTATCTCTCTGATTATCTTAATGCAAATAATGGCATTAAGATAACTATCAGGATTTCCTTAACTGGTAGGTTTTAGACAACATCACACGCTCGCCTGCCTTAATTCGTCATGGCATATATTCAAGGTGCTGGAAACATTCCTTGGAGACTTTGGTCCATACTGACATGATATCATAATACAGTTTGATTTGCTGGCTGCATTTGATCCATCGTGCAACTCTTCTATTCCTTTACATCCCAAATAAGTGTCTTTGTGGGTTACTTTTGCCTTCCTCAATTTTAAACAAACCATAAACAATGCAAAGTTTTTGTCTCAAGATTTTTTTTAAATTACATCTTCTCACTAAATGCAGCAAACGTATTTTTTAAAAAAAACATAAAACTAGTTTGGTTTATCAATTAGTAAAATTACAAAAATAAAATAGTCTCTATATTGACGTTTCTAACGTAAAATAACAGAAACATTTTATTTACTTTTACACAGAAAAAATATAAACATAATATGCTAAGATGCTTTCTTTATTTAAAAGATATAACTACTGAAAACTAGCTTTATGCTGTACAAACATATCAAAAATGTGATGAAATTAGTGTAAAATAACACAAAGAATGACAGAGGAAAAATGAATTTTACTGTAATTTAACATTGGTTTGTTTATTCATTAACAGACATGTTGTGAAATTACAGAGGTTATCACCACAAAACTGGTGGAGAAATTGTATCAATGTTTTTTTATGAGTGTATAAAATCTGCAAGTATTGTGTCAAAAGCTATCATTACGCTAATTTCACAGTTGATGTATTTCATATTACCAAAATTGGTAAAAGTTTAGTAAAGTAATAACAATAGAAACTATTGAACCAACTCTTCCCTCTCATGATATTAAGAGGAGAGCGGACTTGCTAGCAATGCTAATGGCTGAGGTGATGTTAGCCGTTTTAGCTTTTCAGCTACCTGTACAAAATAATTAGCATTAAGCAGTATGCCTCTTTGGATTTAGACAGATTTATCTATTTACCTATTTAAGTGTCCCCTGTTCCCACATTTGTTATTCTTTCTCTCGGCAGATTCATTATGACTTGTTGGTGTCAAGGGCTAGTGAAAAGGTGAGTTTGCACCATATGCGTTTTAGGGATGTTCAGAAATTACACTTATATTTACGTGAAAACCCTGAAAGATTATACATATATATATATATATATATATATATATATATATATATATATAATATATATATATATATATATATATATAATGAAATTTGAAAATATAGAATGAAACACTTGAGTATATAGAATGAATGAACCTCATGTTTAGAGTTGAGGTTTTTCTGAATTTTCTGCCTTTACAAAATGGCATCAGCTGAACTATTTCAGTATTTTGAAGATTTTGAGTCTATATTGCGTCAACTTGAAGATCACATTTTCATTTCTAGCTCCCAGAATATTTTTTAAGGATTTTTTTGTTAAA